TTTTAAATTATATTTTGGTTTTCGGGGTGGGGGTGGGGGGGGGAAGGGAGGAGGAATAAAGAACAACAGAGGAAAACAAGAATAAAAAATCATGATGGGTAATAGGGTACAGCTTTAAAAAGAGCCTGATGACAGAATATCTGCAAAATGTGACCAGCAGAAGAAACAACCACAGCACTAGTACATATATATACAAGAAAATCTAGGACAATAGACTGTTTAGTTTTAGTACGAGTTTTACGACACTTGCGGCACAATTAGATCATATAAGTGCCGAGGATCAGAGGAGTTACAAAGAAAGGAGAAATAAGGACAACAGACGTTTGATAGGAAAGAAGGAGCAGACCACACCAAAGTACCCCCCAACAACCCACATATGTAAAAAACAAGATTAGTTTACAGATCAAGAGGCAAAACAACAAAGGGCAGAGCTGCCAACCCTACCAGCCACGAAAGTGTAAGATCTTAGCTAACAATGTGTAAGATTGTAAAAAAAAAAGAGTACAATATAACAAATATCACTATTTCGTCTCAATACGCAATTAAAACTCGCAAAAATTAAAAGAACAGACCACCACGCAACACTAACACGAACTTGGCGGAAGTTGGCCTAAACAAAACGAAATTAGGTGAAAATCAATCAAGGGAAGTCACTGTGTGATGGTGTTTGTGTTATCGTCCAATAGTACATTTGCTGTCATAGGGGCCTTTTAATAATAGATTGGACTGCTGGCGGTCACGAATCAGAACAGCAAACGGAGCGAGATTTTGTTTAGACGATCCATCGGATCAAGCAAAAAGTTGTACAATTCGGCAAAGTGGTGTAAAATCTTACGATCATTGAAAAAGCTTACAAATACGCTTTTTTGGTGTAAGGTTGGCAGCTCTGAAAGGGGTGCAAAATGTATGCCAAAGGGTGTAGTTAAGGTAACATATCTTAAAATAATTGTGACGAATTGTGATGAGATCAGGGCATTCGTCAAAATGATGAAATCAAAGAAACCAACATTTTTCCACTCCTGTGACAGTTTTTAATAAATGTTTTTTTCTTAGCTCAACACCCTATATGACCATTTAAATACACATTTTTGACTAGATTTTACCGAAAAACGTTGGTCAAAGGCTTTTTAAAAAATGTAAATTTACGGTTTTCAAGGACACTAAAGCTTTGGAATTCAACAAACTTTGCTGGTCATTTTTTCCACTACTTTCACCTTTGACAACAGGCAACCCCCATCTCGTTCATTAGCAAACATCTCGACTTCTATTCAAGATGGATAGGATTTTTTTTAATCTAAAGCAAGACAAAGATAAAAGAAAAAAAGCTTTAACCCCTTCACTGCTGAAAAATTTCCATCAACATCTGTACCGACAAAATAAACTGTTAATTCAAGAGAACAGT